ACTTTTTTCGAAAACACCTAATTAAATTCAAAATTTTCAGTGAAAAAACAATTTTTGACGGATTCTTCAGCATTGTGGAGAGTTGAAACTCTCATATTTTGCAACCAACTAAATCCTGATTTGTCTTCTACGATATACAACAAAACACTTTTTAGCGACCGTCGAAAATTTACATGCACAGTCTACGGAGGCATCTTAGAATAAATTAAATTTTTATAATAAACCTAGCTGAAAAATATTTCAAATAAACTTAAATAATGCATAGCTGTACTAAGTGTTGCAAGCACGCCTGCCAGTGACACTGAGTGATTCAGAAGAATGAGAAGTCAACCCAAATGCCATGAGATAGGTAATGCTCGACAGCGGAATTGAGTCCTGATTGATTACAATGTTATTATACACGACGAGAACTAGTTTCTACCCTACGGAAACTAGCTCAGACCCTTCACGCTACTGTAAGTTTTATTGCCCGTGAAAGGTGAACTATACATGCAAAATTTCATAAAATTTTTCTTCATCAGTACTATGCGATAGAAGTAAATAAAGAAGCTCAAGGAACATTTGCTTCGACCAGTGAAGTGCAAATTATATTTTTTTGTAACCAGGTTATTTAGAACTAAATGCATAAAATTCGAAATATTCTTCGCCATGCTCTATCTCTCTTCATAGGGAGACATAACATAAAACGGAGAATTCTACAGTACAAACTTACACAGTCACGTAACGACTGCATTAACTAGTTGGCGATTTTAGCCTCGAGAGTGAAAGCTGCTATCTGGAAACATCATTTGAACTACGAATTTAATTTCCTGCTAACGTTTTTATTCATGAATTAGTTCGGTTAAACTATCAAAGCCTCCTTTATCGCCCGGCTTAAAAGACGGCCTTAGTGATTCAATCGAGCCAATTCATGAATGAAGATGTTGGCAAAATGGGAAATAAATTTGCAGTGGAACAAAATTATGAAGCACCTTTCACTATCGAAGCTAAAAAAGTCATAATGAAGCTTATATTTTCCTGCTTCGACCTGAATCACTACGACTTGAATCGCTTTCTGCTTCATAGTATGTCTTTATCTGAATACGGATCGAGAAACCGATGAGAAACGTCGGAAAATAGGCATGTAATGAGTTCGATATGCAATATCTGGTAAAAAAATTTTTGAATTTCAAACTTAATTCTCGCATAAATGTCAACTCCCGTTTTAAAGAACAATATGTACTGAAATTCTGATATTGATTTTTTCGAGTTATTAACATTTTTAATTTAGTGCAACACTTTTTGATTAAATCTGCTGATTGGGTGTTTAATTTTGAAAGATTCGAATTAAACACGTTTTAAAACGAAGTTATGACGTAAACGGCCGACGCTTTACCCCTCTGAAGATGCGTTGCTTCAAAGTTTTCACGTTCCTGAAAGAACCATCGTCAGTCCTGAAACTTCGCCATTCGTCTAAAGACATCGGCTGGTCCCGTTCAATTTCAGGTCTTTCTGGAAGGCTCGGAACCTTCAGTTAAAATCACTGTTAATCAACCATGAAAAACAATGATAGCTTACCTTCTCGAAGGTAGAATCGTCGACATCGTTCTCGAGTTCGTCTCGTCTTTGCAGTTCAGTCAGGCTGTGAATGCCGAAGCGCTGCATGTCGTCGGGGATCAAGAAATCGAAACCAGGGCTGCTTTGGATGGCTTCCGTCATTTTTGCAAGGCTCGTGAGAAAGGCGACGCGTGGCTCATTGAAAAGATTCTAAAACGCACCAAGATTACAAATCGCCTAATTACTTAACCAGACGGCCGTGATACCGTAAATAGGTTAGGAGATGTGTCTTTCATCAGTTCAGCCAAGGTTTGCCTGAAAGCCTTTCCCTTGTCGACGACCGTCAACAGAACGTAATTATCCTCTTTGCGAGACCTGATACATAAACGATTAAGAAAGAAATACGTATTACAGCAACGATACCATAAACGTACAATCAACAAAAACATTTTTATGCCGTTTAAAACATGCTTACATTAAACAGAACAAAACAAATGGAAATGCAGAACAAGAAGTTTTGACGAAATCCATGTTTTCATAAAAGTATGTTAGCACTTCAGAACAATAAGCCAGTTTGTTGTATTATGTGTTTTTGTAAAGATCGCCATATTGAGGTGCTTGCATGAACGGAACATCTGTAGTCTGTGATGACTGTTGTATTAGCCGATTTTCAAAACTTTCGTACTGAGAAACCGGCTACTGCATCGCAGAAAGAAATATTCCCACAATAGATCTGCCCTTATCTTGTTCCTCCATGTTGCAAACTGGCCTCCTGAGCGATGTATGCATGAATAGACTCCCACACGAGAAGCCAACGGTTTGGAATAAAACGTGTAAACTCAACCATTATGCCTAACAGGGTCAACTTCTTTTTGTAAGTTTTCTCATCACCGAACGCACCTGCTCGGTAGACAACAGAATCGCTTCATAAGTAGTCCTGACATTTATTCTTCGTTATGAGTTGAAGTCACCTTTGGTGGATGCGGTTCAATGGTCGTTCTTTCTCTTTAGAGACCGAAGCTAGTCTACAGTAAGAGCAATCTTCCGTACCACCATTTTTAAGTATAGGCAGGTTGATAGTTGCACCGCTTATAACAAATTCACAAGTCACGCTACCTTTTCAATTCCGCATGTTGCTCCAATACGTCAACCAGAGTGTGATAGTCGACCGTGCACATGCGAAGTTGTTGAAAACTTGTACCATCTTTAGATATGAGTTGTAGCTGAGTCTCGGCGCGATCGACACTCCTGCTGCACTTGTACCCACTCAGGTCTCTGAGCTCGACGCTGATTTGCAGGTGACGTTGCGGGTTTGAGCAACTTTCTTCGTTCTGAAGCGCGTTTCTTACCCTCTCTGCTGTGACGCCTAGAAGAATTTATCGATCACTGACGTAACCTGACGAAAGTATACCTTTGCAAGCACCCAAACAAACTACTTGAATAATACCAGCTCAAACAATATGATACAGTCATAGAAGTTGAAGAG